AGGTAGCTCAGTGACAAAATCCATAGAGACCACCTATAACGGATATCTCGGTTCGATATTGCTGTGAAGGACCGAGAACCGGTGGTAGCCTCTTGGCTGACGCGCAATCTACGCATTCTCTCACGAACTTCTGTACATCAGCGTACATCCCGATCCAGTAGAACTCTGAACGTAATCGCTCAAATGTCCTGTTGATTCCTTGGTGTCCGCCTTGGAAGTCCTCGTGCGAGTAATGTAACATGTCGGCACGTAAAGTCTCTGGGACTACCAACCTGAGTTCCGACTGCTTGTTGCGGGGTCTCTCAGGAGTGGGTGTGCTCAGCCTGTAAAGGACTCCTCGCGAATCTAACACAAATTGATCGGAGACCTTCGCAATCTTCTTGACCTGGTTCCGTGGAAGATCTGATACGTCTCCTCTTAGGACCTTCTTCATTTGCTGAATCCACAAGTCTTCGTCTTGGTGAACCTTAATTCTCCTCCAACGTTCATCCTGGTATCCGGACTGGTCTACAGGAGTCCGAGAACCTGCGTCCGCTTCCGTTCGTGACCTCGTCATCACCATCAATGCTTCAGCCGCGGTAGCTAAAGACTCAGGTATCCCGGTATCAGGACTATCCACTTCAAGTTTGACTTGATCCGAGTCAACCGCATCGGTCACAGGGGTACCTGGAATTTCCGAAGGCTTCATGATCTTTTCAGGAATTCTAGATACGAGACGTAAATGCACAATTTCATCGGGGTCATCGAGCTCCCAGGATTCTCTAAGCACGAGAGTCATAGAGGTCAAGTAGCCGGCCGCTTGGTTCAACTCACGTTTAACATGAATCAACTTCACCGACACAGAATCCTTCCTGAGATCCTCACACTCAGCTAAGCGTCGTTGCAGGTTAGGCGGGTTGCAATTGATCAGACCCTGAGCCTGTTGAACGACGATTCGGGAATCACCGACTGCCACAAGCTCCTTGACTTCATACTTCATAGCGAGCTTTAATCCCAAAATCAAACCATGGTATTCAGCATCGTTGACTGTCACACCTTCAAGGATGTGCCCTTCAGCTTTCACAACCTGCCACCCTGGCAGCTTCCACAGTATGCATCCGCAACTTCCTCGACGAGTAGAAACCTTCGCAGCGCCATCAAAACTCAGAACGTAGCCTTGGTAGTCTGCTTCCAACATTTCCAGACTCACTGGCGGCATCACTTTCAGACGCCCCTTGGCAGGAATCAGGGTTTCGGCAACTTCATCTAAATGTTCCCTGGGAGTAATACCAGACCCAAGGATGGCCGCAAGGCCGTCCTCATCTTTTTGAGTCCGATGTATTTCCAGTGTCCATCTTGATAGTCCCAGCCCACTTCAGATGTCACCCATCTGCGGTGTTGGATTGCAATAACCACTTTAGTACAGAGTAGCGCGTATACACCACAACTGGGAATTCTGATCCATGGATCAGAGGTCTGAAAACCTCCAGAGTCCAGCACTTCTTTCTCAGCTATGTGGTAACGCAGCTCTGATTCCTTCAACACTCTGCCAGTAAATCGCACGGGGTGTATGAGTCCTTCATGCTCCTGACCCAAAACAGCACACGCCGCCCACGGGTTGGCATGCGGAATTATCACGAAAGGCTTGGTTCTATCTGGATGTCGCAACAGCGGGTTCGACACGATCTTACGTTTCAGTATCTCGAAAGACTCTTTTGCGGCTTCTAGGTTCCGGCCAGCACGTACACGTTCCTCATCTAGTTCGTAGAGCACAGCGGCAACTACTGGTAAATCTTCAATAAACTTGTTGTAATAATTCAGACTTCCTAAGAAGGACTGCACTCCCTTGTACGTCGACGGGAAAGGTAAGTCCTCTATGCCTTTGACAATCTTCGGCAAGGCTCTGATTCCATCCGCACTCACTTCATGAGAGAGGAATGGGATGGTCAACTTTCCGAATTCACTTTTCGGTAAGCTCACAGAGATATTCCAGTATCGTAACAACGCGTCCAGGTCTTCACATAGTTGGTCCCAGGTCGACGCCCCATGCGCGATATCGTCAATATACGAGCTTCTTCCTAAGACTGGACCCATTTGTGATGGAGCCGGGATGTTGCGTTGGAATATAGTCATGTCCAATGAAGGAATCTCTGAATTCCGCATATCCACTTCAGGTTTCAGGGCTTCTTGAGGCTCGAGATTCAGGAACTTAAGAACTTCTGGGTCAACCATCGCTTCCTCTTCAGGAGGTAGACGGACGAATCCCCACAGACAGTTGTTGATGATACTCTGATAAAGCAACGGCGCATTCTTCAATCCAAAGGGCTTTCTGAACCATTGAAAGTGGCCGAACGGGCAGACGAACGCAGAGATCAACTTCGCACGTTCGGTCATTCGCACCGCCCAGAATCCACTTGCCATATCGAGACTCATAAACCACATCGCGGATTTGATGTCTACCAGCAGGTCATCGATCAAGGGTAGAGGATAGCGAGATAGTTTTATGAGCAGATTCAGAAGTCGGTAGTCAATACACATTCGGATGTCTATGCCGTTTTTCTTCAGCACAATCACAATAGGCGATGACCACTCGGACTCTGAATGCTCAATGAGCTCTGCCTCCAACAACTTCTTCAGGAGTTCAAACACCTTCACCAAGAAAGGTGCGGCAATCTGCCTCGCACGTAAAGCCACTGGTTTTGCTTCTCCAACGTCGATGTCAGAGACTACGCCCTTAGCCGGGTCTGGAGCTGCGTTGCCATCTCCCAGGAAGATGCTGCGATGGCGTTTCAGGATCCCTCCCGGGACTCCGACATTAGCTTCGTCAATGTTACACTCTGGGGTCGGTTCCTCAATTTCTGGGAGCATGATAAGTTGGTCTCGTAACTGCGCCATTAGATCACTTCCTTCCCTGAGATATACGGCAGGTTCCAGGTCCAGCTCTTCGGCAGAGACTCGCATTACCCGAGCATATTCTGCCTCCAGCCTTTGGACTGGTGTCGAACGACTGGACATCCACTGACGGTTCAGGGGCCTGAGCATTACTCTCGACATCCGCCATACTCTCTGGATCCGGAGTCTCAACTTCTGGACTCAAGTCAGGATGTGTCTGTTCTACCGGCTCAGGACGGGTCTCAGATTCCTCGGAGTCTCTCGCGGCCGTGTTCATGACGACCGCGGAATTCCCAATGATCTTGAGTGTCATGTCCAATGGTTTCGGTTTTTCTTGCAGCTTTACCATCTTCACTTCAGCGACTTGGGACCGTGGACGCATTAAGAGCTTAGTAGGCCACTAATATCTCTGAGTCTGGGTGCACGGAGGCTCCCTTTTCCTGAGAATCTGCTCCAACCGTTCAGCACGCATCCTTGCTTGACGTTACACGGTACACTCATGGATCAATTGTTGCCATTCCTCATACCGCGCTTTACCAGGACGAACGAATCCAGGCTGTCCTGGGAACTGTCCGTACTCCACAATACGCGCAACCGCAGTCCTAGTGTCGATCCAAACATTCTGGTCTGAAACATTAACAACCTTGACGGCAGTCGCCCAGGATCTAGCAGAGTACAGGACCTTGGTCACCCAGCTTTTTTCTCTTCCAGCCCACACCAACTCACGTTGAGGGTTGGACTGGCCATACCGAATTCGTAGGTCCTGACCAGGACGCAAGTGTATACTTTCTTCTGGGCACACAGGGAAATCCATACCACGGGACTTGGGCTCATTATCATACATCACCACAGTCTCTTCGTCTGGCAGCTTAACTAAGCCTTCTCGTATGCAGAGTCGGACGCCTGCTGCCTGTCGAATGCATAAAACTCATGCCTAGCAGAACATCAACACCTTCTCCAATATTTCCAACCCAG